AAATTCAATTCAATTCAGTTTATTTATATAGCGCCAAATTCACAACACATGTCATCTCAAGGCACTTTACAGTTCAACCAGATCATACAGTCAAATTGATACAAAGTTTTCTATCTAAGGAAAACCAGTTGATTGCATTGACTCATTGACTCAAATACAATCCCTCACACTAAGCATGCTTGTAGCGACAGTGGAGAGGAAAAACTCCCTTTTAATCAAATGAACCAACTTTAAATTCCCTTATTGTGTCAGAAGAACTAAAAACGTTGGGCGGACTCACCTGCTGAGCCGAAGCTGCGGCGCCTCTTCCTTCGTTAGACCTTCTCTGGTCACTTTGAAAGCAGCTGACTTAACTTCTTGAGGGAGGTATTTTTCCAGTTCACTGAAAAAAAGAAGCGAAAGTGTATTATATTTAGTCAAATTTAATAAACATATCTTCATACTAGGTTAAAGTAAGCAGCGTAATCAGGAGCTCGAATGGTGCACTGACTTCTGATTGCCAAAGAAAAGCTGTTTGTTTGTGTTCAGAGATGAGGAAGTTTAGCTTCCAATAAGGCCTTATAATACAATTCCTAATGAAGACCGGTGTCTATATCACACCTTAAAACTAATTATTAGTTTTTTTGTATGTTTTCATTTTCATAGTATCTCCAGCTAATGTGTCAAGCTCATGAAAGCAACACATCCGGTTCATGAAACGATCGTATGCAGACCAGATCATTTCATAAACCTAACAGATACGTTTAGCAAAGAGCTGCAGAACTGAGTTAGCTTCACTTTATTCACAATACTGGTGATAAACATAAGCAGGACGTGCACTTAGTTTAAAGTAGAAAATCTAACAAACTATTCAGTTAAAACAGCTCTTTCGACATTGAGAGCACAGCAGTCATCCTCATGGACCTATAAGAACCATAGAGGAACCATGAACCCCTCACAGCTCTCAATAAACTGAGAAGATAAACGAATGGAGGCTCCCAGCTGCTCGGATGCCCTGCATGTTTGGAAGCTACATCTTTGCTCTAAGATGAAGATGAAAATATGCAATAAAGAAGCCCAATATGACCCTGAACCTGACAAGTAAATTAAGATCACTGGCAAACTCCCACAAAATGACAGCGAAAAATTTGAATATACGTAAACTTTTCTTTAAATAAGTGTATTTTCCCTTATTTTGAGCAGGTTAGGAAGACAGAATAAGACGATTTATGTTTAAAACTGAAAAAAACAACACCTCCATTATTGTCTGATACCATGGCACAAATACAAATTCTATTAGCAAATCTTCTTATTTACCTGCTTAAATAACAGGCAAATTCACTTTTTAAAGAACTTTTTTCTTATTTGTTTTTTGATCAACACATAGAGCACAGAAACTAAATAATGTCCTACTCTATTTGCTTGGTTGCCAACATGTTTGGTTGTCATGATACTTAACTTTTCAACTCGATACCGATACTAAGGAAAATATTCGATACTCGATACCATTTTCGATACCACAAGGATAAAAACAAAGACTCCAAAATTC